GGTTTAAAGTATACCTAAAACGAATTATTTGTTATTCGATCGAATAAGGAAAATATATTATTCGTCGAATAATTTTTTATCTATTATTCGATCGAATTATTCGAGATTATTCGACTAAAATAATTTATAGTATTAATATATATTGGAAAATAATCATATATAAATCATATATTATTTATAGGAATTATTTGAAATTATTTCAATTTAATAAAATCTCCTAGTGGAATAATGAAAATTGCGCCAAATTTTGAAACTCCATTTTAATTTATCTCATAATAGACCATTACTTTAGAAATTTCTTTTATGATAGAGATGGACGAAGAAGGTAATTTATATAACACATAACATATACAATTATAATAAACTGTTAATCCCATCACATCAAGAATGACGGGCAAACCTGATATTTCTCTTTCATTTGATGATGGAGAAATCATAAATTTGACTTTTTGCCTAAAGTTTTTACCACTTTATTTGTAAAATATTTCTAATGTGAGTTTTTCGTAATTATTTAAGTTGCATAGCTTTTTGACAATTTATTATTTCCCCACATTAAAAAGAATATTACTTTGACTTATATATTATTTTAGTTTATGTTAATAACAACAAAGTAGTGTTTGGGATTGAAGATCATCAATGAATCTCAGTAGGAATTTCTTATTGCCCAAATCAAATAATCTAAAACTTTCATTATTCTACTATGAATCAAAATTCACAAAAATTTATATTATCTTTATAAAATTATATTCTTGATTCTTTTCCCAATATAATTAAATTTTATGAACAGTGTTTGGAATTAAAACCTATAAATCCAAATCATTTTTGTAAAAAATATTTTATAAGTAAATCTATATAAAATTTAATATAAGTACATGTAATAGTATTTTTAAACTTAAAACTTTATTTTTCATTTATATCCAAATTCACTAAAATATATATTATAATTTTGTGATAAATTTTTTATAAGCTATCATCTCATCTACATTTTTGGATAATTTATCAATTGTATGAGCAGTTTGTAAAAAATATTTTATAAGAAAATTCTGATATGATGTTTATAGGATCTGATGATTTTGACATATATATTACTGACTAACTTATTGATTGCCATATTGGGTTGGCTGGCTATGCTATAAATATTATAATAATATTTAATTTATTAAATAGATATTCAACCTATTGGTATAATAGATATTTCTGAATCAGAGAGCATTGGAGAACAAAGCCAATATTCATCATCCACCTCAAATTCTATACAGTCAGGCTCGGGAGGACGAAAAAATGCAGATATTTGGAAACATTATATTTACCAAGCATCAACAGAAACTCCAAGATGTAAGATTTGTCGGGTTGAAATTAAGTGTAAAAAAAAAACTACTTCAGCTTTGATTAATCATTACAAACTATTCCATCAAAAAACTTATAATAATAAATTTATTGCATCATATTTTGATAATGATATAAATAAAAATCATATGCACAACAATAATGATATCAAACACCATTTATTAAAATTTTTGATCAAATCTAATATCCCATTTAAAATTCTTGCAACAAATGAATTTAAAGGTTTTGTTAAAGCATTAAATCCTAGCATTAAAATATGTTCAATTCCTACATTAATGAATATTTTGATAATGAATTCCAAAAAATTAAATTGATAATAAACAAATCTAATACACAAATAAATTTTACAATAGATATTTGGTCAAGTCCAACAAATGTCCCATTCTTGGGATTAACCTGCCATTGCATTGATGATGAATGGGTACTAAAATCTATATTATTAGACATTGTTCCTTTTACAAATTCCCATTCTGGGGAAAACATATATAAGACATTTTATAGAATCATTAACAATTATAGCATAGATATAAAGTCAACGGCTATTACATGCGACAATGCCGCATCAAACACTACCTTTATAAATAACCTTAAAGTTAAAAATCCAAGATCAAAAATTGCGCATATTCGCTGTTTTGAACATGTTTTAAATCTTGTTGTTCAAGAAATAATAAAACAAATTGATGAGCAATTAATAAAATTAAGAGGCATTATAAAAAGCATTCGAAATTCTTATAAGAAAACTAATATGATGAAAGAATTTTGTAATTCACAAATTCCATCTATTACATATTTGAAGTTAAAATTAGATACACCTATCAGATGGAACAGCTCATATTCTTTGATAGAACGAGCAATACAAATGAGAAAAGCTATAGATTATGTCTTTATTAATAGTTATGATATATCTATTATTCAAGAGAAACAACTTAGTGAAGTATTTATTTATATTTAAATCTAATTTTTATTTTTTAATATAGGATGAATGGACCGCCATAGAAAGAATACATTTAAACTTAAAAACATTTTATGATTTTACTGTTGCCATATCAGGAGAAACATATCCTACACTTAATCAGGTCATCCCCTTTTATATATCATTAATTGAGCACCTAAGTCTCTTTGATAATACGCTTATAAACGCAATTAATGCCCAACAAAAAATAGTATCATATTATAATTTAACAGATTTCCAAACAATTATATCTGCAATATTAGATCCAAGACTTAAACTGGAATTTTTTGAGTGACTACCTATATCTTATAATATAAACGTTACAACTATATTTACTAATTTTGAGAAAATATTTGATGAATATAAAATTAAATATGATGTATCAAAAAGTAAACCTTTAATGCAATCAAATATGGATGTCATTTTTAAACAGAATGTTATGCCAATTTCTGAAATTGACACATATTTGAAAGAAGTGAGAATAACGTCAAATAAAAACCCACTAGAATGGTGGAAACTACATGGAGACCGTTTTCCCGTGTTATCTAAGATGGCGAGGGACATATTGTCGATACAGGGATCTTCAACCCCATGTGAGCGACTCTTTTCTGTTGGAGCTCATATGGTTACAAAATACAGAATGTCGTTAAAGGAGGAAACAATCCGAAAAACTTTATGTTTGAAAAATTGGCTGTTGTCAGATTTATCTTCTACATTATAGATATGAATATTATATCCACATTGTATATAAATATATTATATATGTATGCTTCTATTTTGTCTCACTAATAAAATTTGTTTGTCTTTATCCTTAGTTAAATTTTACAAAATAAATTTTATAATAGATCTTTTTTAATTCATGGTAAATAAAATTTTCGAATCGAATCGAATATTCGACGAATCGAATAATCATTTTATTATTCATAAGAATACGAAAAATAAATTATTCGATTCGTATTTTTGTAGGTATAGTTTAAAGTAACATTTTTTCTGGGGATATTGTATTTTTTTGCACAAATGATTAATTAAAATATTGTATAATAAAAATCGTTTGTTGTTTAGAATAAGTTATATATTTTGTGAAAAACGTGCCTAAGAAAAAACGTTGTTTTGTTTGGAAATGGCATTATAAAACGTTTTTGAATTAAATTTAAATTTCTCTGTTATTGATAAATCATTGAAATTTAAAAAGAGAAAGAAAAGAAGAGCTAGGAAGAGTTTAAGTATCTCTGACTTTTTTACATCGATATAAAGAACAATGACAATTGGAAGGAGGATGTTAATTGAGATGGAAGTGAGTCATTCTATATTCATCTATCATATATGAACAAAAAGGGAGTAGATCTATAATCATAAAATAGGAGGGTTTGACTAGTTGGGAATAATAAAGGAAAATAAGTGATTAGTGTGAATATAGATGACATAAAATTTATGGCAATGCCCAAACTATGGTGAGAATATTTTATAAAAATATAAAGGTTGATAAGATAGAGGAGGTATAAGTTGATTGATGGACTACAATACTGAAAAATGCTGATCAGAAATCAATTAAATAAAAATTAAATTTTTCTATATTTGAAGCTTTTTTACTCATCCTTTTCTTATGGCCACCTATCATTTTTATAATTTCAAAAGCAAAATCATTGAATACTATACTTTTTTGGATTTTTTGATTAACATGCTGCGACTACATAAAATTTTATGAAAAACAATATTTTTGTCTAGTCACTAAACAAGGCCATTCTAATATCTTTAGCGGCCAAAGATGAAAATGAATTATATTACAAGGATCTCTAAACAACCTATCCCTAAGAAAAGAATAAAATTGCCCCAAAAAATAATCCACTAAGTAAAATTTAAAATAAAGGGAATAAAAATTGACAGGTAAAAAGAAATTTACCAAAAATCAAAAAAATGAATTTAAAAAACATACACAAAAATATATTTGGTGACCCTTAAATTAGTCATCTGCTATATTTTCATTATTTTACCCAAAGAATTATATTATCAGTAACATAAGTTAAATCATGGTATTATGGTATTTCATTTCATGATTTATTTCTCATTAACCCACTAAAAAATTAAGATAGATGAAAGAACAAAGAAGCGTAATAATTTATAAATCTGTTTTTCATAAAAATCAAACTTTTTTAATTTTGTGATACTGTGGCAATATTTTATTAAAACTTTATAAAAATCAATATAGTTAATTAAAAAATTTTTTAAAAAAGGTTTAAAAATTCACATTTGTGTTATTAAAACTTAGGTTAAACATTAATTTACTTCTTTTTTTTGTTCGACCAGTACATTAATTATATGAATACAGATCACTTTTAATGTATACCTTTTATCATCTAGCTAATTATGTTTCACAAAAAAACAAGCTAAAAATTTTCCGAAAATAAATGATATTTTAATTATAAAAGCGATTCATAACACTTTCAGCTTTACTTTAATCTCAGTATGGCAAATTTAATAAGGTATACATTATCAAAACCATAACTTTATAATTAATGTTGTTAAATCATCTACATGTGTGCATCATTAATATGGCATAGCCTTTTAGCCCCTAAAAAATAAACTGAATTTCTAAATAACTTAAAGATTGTGAAGAATTTCTTAGGAAAAAAAATTTAGGTTTTTTAGAATTGGTCAACGGATAATTTAACGATACTATATTGGGGAAAAATATATTGAATACTTTAGCGGAGACGGTAGAAGACTGAAGCAGCGTTGCCGCCCACGTCCAATTTGAAATCAATAAAGAAGCAATTAAACCGTATGAAACTTTCCTGCCAGCGTCAAATGTTCTGTCAATGTTTCCCTGTGTTAGATTTTGAAATCGAAAGATAAAGATTTTAATTTTTTTTTTACTAAATGAACTGAAGAAATATAACTTTTGATTTCTGTTAAAAATGAGATAATATTGAAAAAATTTACTGGGCGTAATTAGTAGATAAGAGATTAATAAATGCAACTACAACATTTACACTTCTGACGGGCTTATATTTATATTTCTTTAGGTTTGAAAATATTTATTTTGGTTTTATTTCAAATATAAATGTATATAATATTTTAAATCTTTTATAAACCCAAAATGTTTTACATTTTTTAAAAATAATTTGCTGTAAAATTTATGAATCAGCATTAAACTAAATTTGGCATAGACACATAAATTAATATAAGTTGTATATGTAATATCAGAGATCTGTAAAGGTACCATTTGCACGGTACAGCCCTCCCCGAATCTGAAAAAATTTATTGGCCCAGCCTAGCCCAGTTTTAAAAAAAAAATTTTCGGCCCGGCCCGGTTCAACTTATATAATTTCTGGCAAAGCCGGTCCAGATTTTTTCTTTTTAAAATTTCCTCCCGGATTTCTTTAAACAGTGTCAGGATGCGTAAATTTTTTCTACGGCCTTAGTTAAAAAAAAATTAGAATATACTAGATATATTAACTTTGTAAATTATCTTTATCTCCCAATTTGTCTTAAAAGGAGTGAATTTGAATCAACCACTTTTAATTTGACTGATCGATGGTAATTCCCATATATACTTATTTAATATAGATTTATATAAATATCAGTCATTTTATATTGTTCTGTGATACACTATTTTAAAATATATTTTATTTATTTTTAATTTTTTATAGATTAAATGGCGATTTAAGATATTCTGCTTTAAAAAATTCGGCCCGGCCCGGGTATTTTTAAAATATAAAAATATGGCTTGATCTACCCGGGCCGGGCTTAGGACTTGGCTGCAGGTCTTTTGGAATTTACATTGCTTGCAATAAAATATAAATATGCTAATTCAGAATCATCATAAATTATATATAATATTATTAATAATCTATTTGAAAATTCAAATGATTAGATAAGATCAGAATCTAGATCGAGATAAGGTGGGGAAGGCAAACGGCCATAACTTTTTCATCTTATGGGCTTCTAGTTCTAATTTAGTCAAGAGATGTATTTCTATACATACAATCTACCATATGTTTATATAAGCAAGATCCCGTATTCAAAAGTTATCTATTAAATACCTTTAGCCGGGACAGGTCTGGTCTAGATCCAAATGTTTTTGTTATTGAACTAAGGGGAGGGTTTGGCCGAAAAAAATTGATTTTTCAGTCTATTACCTTTCATCTTGAGCATACACAAACTTCATATTTATATAATTTATTTGGACTAATAGGTAAGGCTCCCTATATTTTGTACCTTAAATTCATAGTGTCGCGAGAAGACTTTTGGGTGGGGTATAAAGTATTCGTTGTTCTTTTAAAAACTCATAAATAACGAACTTCATCATTTTTTAAAATGAGATCTGCGAATAAGAACATTGGAATATGAAATAATAGGTAAAATCTGTTTATAAACATTTAAACAAAACGAATTCATTCGTGTTCGTTATTCATTTATAAAAAGCCAATATGTTCGCGATGAACGTCATTTGCGAAAAAAGGAACGCGCAATCTATAATATTATATTTCTAAAATGCATTTAATATATAAATGCCATTTAAACTTAATTTGTTTTTGAAACAATAAAATCCGATATTGGCGCAACCAGACATGTAGTGCTTCTATTGTTCTAGTATGATGCCAATATTTTTTTAAACTATTTACCAAATGGGTTTAAAGAATAAAATGTACTAAATGTGTATTAATTATTGGTGTCCAAAGTCAAAAAAAATTTCAAAAATAATGATTCTGGCATTTATTATGATGCGTCCAAACTCGATTTAGTATATTTCAATAATAAATTAGTTCTTTTATAAAAATAAAATTCAGGGGTTTGGTTGAATTAACCCTAGCATTGCGCCATATTTTCATTTTGTTAATAATTCTTTTTCTTATTTTGGTTTGCAAAATACCTTAAAAAAATTTGTTAGAACTATTATTGATAGAGCAGGAGAAGTTGTAAAATATTAAAGAACTCTGATTTTGTTTATTAGAATATTAAAATTAAAGAAAAGGGCAATGGCAGTATAAGACTGCACAACTCGCAGGTTCTCTTATGGAATCTTAGAACGATTATTAAGTTTGAAATATTTATGCATAAATTTTATAAGTGACTAGAATTTAATATTGGTTATTACTAAAATATTGGCACCTTTGAAAATCACAACAATGAAACTGTAATCTGCTTGTCTGATTTTTAAATACCGATTAGATTTGCAAAAAATAACAAGAATTTTTCCCATGAAATTTTAGAATATATAAAAATTGACAATTATTTACAAAATATACTACATCCATCTTATTTGTAAGTTCTGTTGAGTAATGAGCAAAAACAGATAGCTAAAGATCATCTTGTAGAAATATGGAAAAAAACACTTAATCTTTTATAAAATATTGAGGCCCACCACATCTTATGCCATAATTGATTGTGATATTAATAATTAATAAGCAGCTGATGAATTTGAAAATTTACTTTTAGAAAGGTAACTAAAGAAAATTACCAGAAAAATAAAAAAGAGGAAGATCAAATCTCTATCCCATCCTTAAAGGAAAAGTTAGTATATGTCAGAAGAATATATAAAGATAAAAATATTTTAAAATTCTGGAGAAAAAAACTTTTCCATATAACCAGAATTATATATCATATCTAGAATTTTTCTGCATATACCAGCGATAAAATATATTAATTTACAATATATTATAAAGATAGCTATTAAATCTAGGTCAGCTTAGAATGTGGGTGCCTTTTCTTATTTGAAATACATATTGTCAAATTTTCGTAGAAAATCTTATAAAGGATATTTTGGAACATGACTAATTTTTTTAATTTTTTTTGGCTATAACTTATTTTATCATTAATGAGTCAGTATTTTTACTCTCCAAACCTTGAACCGGAACCTGTTTACCTAAATTTTCTATTTCATAACCTGACTCGAACCCTTTTTTTCTTGAAGGGCTCACAACCCTGTTATAAATTTTATCTCATTTTTCCAAATATCTCTTATTGCAATCAAGTGTTTATTTTTTTCTATGTTAAAGAAGTAATTTCCAATTGTCTAAGTCATTCTTTTGTTTAAACGTTAAATATTATTTTTTTGACAAAATATTTATTTAAATATTATAGCAAATTTATAGATTACAATTTTGAAATAATTGTAAATATATACCAATGATGGATATATTTCATTTTTAAATAGGATAAAGATAAAGGTAAAGAATATATGTTCTAACGAAATGTTAGTCCTTTACTTTCACTATCAATTAACGGTGGTTAGAAGTTTTATAGAAAGAAATTTAAATAATAATAAAATCAATTTATATCACTAAGTTATAAAATATCTCCTACTTATATTAACTCTTGTTTTAATGCAAAGAATTAAATTCTCTTTTTTAGAAATTAATTAAGGAATACACTTAAGGATTTTATGAGTGGAGGGAGGGGAAATGAGCAGTCTTGCATTAGCCTCCGATTAATGATATGATGTATTAAACTATTACAATTTATTATTTTTAAAGTGGTACACATTCAAATATATTATCTGTCTTTCTTTCTTTTCGATAATTGAAACAATAATTATACGTTATCTGTATAATGGATTTCTATTTTATTTTTAAAGAAATAATTTTCTTTTGCTTAGTGTATAAATTGAAATATATAATAATATAAAAAAGGTAAATATTTTTATCAATTTAAATTCAATGTTGACCGATCTTTGAGACATTAAACATATTGCCATTCATAAAAACATTTCATTATCTTATCAGTAATTTAAAAAGTATAATATTCATAAATTACTTTATATTGAAATTTTCACAAAAAATGTATAAGTATTTCTTTTATATTAAGATATTATATCCTCTAGAGCTATTTTAAAAAAATATTAATGATTTTAAGTATAATTCATTTATATATTTACATTACAATTTTCTATGAATTAACAAAAATCATAAGATCAAACGTGTAACTCTAACTTGTAGGCATCCTCTTATTCAAAAAAGACTAGTCTTAGAAAGATTTGAATTTTTACAAGCAACTATCTTATATTATATTAGTCACTTCATGAATTCTCAATATATAACATTATATGAAAAAAAATATTAAACAGGGAGAAGTGGCATGACTGGTCATGCTCTTTTCAGAAAAAAAAGTGATCAAGAATTGGATTTAAACAAGGAACTAACGTTAATATTTTTTGAATAAGATATCCAAAACCTGACCAGATTCATCATTTTTCAAATTCAGATCTCAATCTATATGTATATTAACGAGCTTATCTCAATATAAATTTAATCACAGTCATATATTTATTGATAACTTTTTATGGTCATTTAAAACCTCACTTATTTTTTTTATAAAAATGCTCCTAAAAATTTTGAATTATATAACTTTTACTAATTTTTCTTTCAAATTCTTGTTTATAGTGTTATATTGTATACAATTTTCGGGGAGAGAGTAGTGAGGGGGGGGATATATAGGAGGAAATTTTTAATAGCTTAAATTGATATTTACAAGAATAGGCAAATTTTCGAAGGGCGCTAGCTTGAGCCTAAAGCTAAAGATTGAGAAGATTTTTTAGGATAAATAGTTGAAGGCTGTTTTGAAGTTGGCTAAAGATATGTGATTTAAACAACCACAACCAAAGTGGATTCATCAATAATGAAATAAGATATAACTCCAAGGGAACAGTTTCATCTTAATACATCTTTGATTATGAATAGTAAATCAACTTTAGATGTCTTTTAAATAAAACTTTCACATTGTAATAGTCTGCCGGTTATTTGACCATATTTGACCATAAATAAAAAAAAAACAATAATTAGATTCAAGCCTATAACAATGAAAAAAATAAACTTTGCAGTAAGC